TATAATGTGGTATCCTGGATGGGACCCTAGAACAGAGAAGGGACTATATTTTAATAGCAGAAAAAACAGATGGAGGGAAAGAGAATGTAAAAAGAATTAAGTTTGTTATGAAAAAAGATTGTTATGTACATGTACCATTCCCCGCGGTGAATGTAATCATCTACTATGTACTACAAATGTACTAATTAAAATAAAAAAATTTAAAAAAAGGAAAAGAGGTGGTTTTATTTTATTTTGTTTTCCTTGAAACAAGCTCTCACTGTATAGCCCAGGCTAACCTCAGATTCACAGTTTTCCTGCCTCAGTTTCCCCAGTGTTGGGATAACACACATCAACCATACCAGTTTAGAAGACAGATATGCTAAACCAGTTATTGGCCTTTCCCTTTTTTTTCTGTCCCCTCTGTATCTTTCCTTTGTAGCTCAGGCTGGTCTCAAACACTCAATGATCCTCTATATCTTCCCTTACTTCTTTTCCTCTTATCATTCTACTTTCTAAGTAAATGAAGAATTTGAGATGAAATTATCCTGGATTATCCAGCTGGGACCTAAATGTCATCTCAAGTGTCCTTCTGTGAGGCAGCAGGAGGGAGAGTAAACCCAGAAGAGTAAGCCATGTAAAGACAGAGGCAGAAACAGTAGGGATGGGGCCACAAGCCCAGGGAACGAGAGAGCAAGGCCCTGGCCCACACCTTCATTCCAGCACACTGAATTTCAGATTTTGGGCTTCTGACCTTAGGAAGGTGACCAACCAGTGTGTGGCAATTGGTTGCAGTAATTTGATGGTTTTGGGACATTCTCAGGTGATCCAGATTGCAGGGGATGTTGACAGGGGGAAAAGCACTGTGAGGAAAGCTGCCTTTGAGAGACCAAGGGTGTGGCTAACAGGGGACCTGAGGGTGTGGGAAGGAAGTGGCCCAAGATGGGGCTGTAGGGAGTGGGGAGGAAGTGGCCTGAATCAAGGGAACCCAGCAGTACTGGGGGAGGCAGCATGGAGCAGGAGGACCCAACCCTCTCAGGAGGAGGTGGCCCAGGACAGGAGGGGCACCCAGGGATGCAGGTAGGGACCATGAAATGGTCATGGTGCTGCTCTGGGAAGCCTGGTCAGTGCTGTCCTGCCTGCTAAATGGGAGAAGGGCTGTGTTATGCTTTATGTCTGAATATCCCCCCAAAGCCTCATGCAGTCATGGGGCGGGTTTTTAGAGTTTATGGTTGATTCATGGTCCAACGTTGGAATTATGGATGTGAGTGCTACACCTGCCCTGGGGTGGGTAGTTTGCATACAATGTAAGGGAAGGAAAGAGGCTGCTTGCCACCTCTCCTCCCTTTTGCTCTTGTTGCTTTTGCTGTTTTCTGCCGCTATGAACTGTTGTCCTCTGCCGTGTGCCACTTTGCCTTAGAGCCTGCTGAGTATGGACTGAAACCTCCACAAACTGTGAGCTAAATAAATCTTTCTTCCCTTAATTTTGGGTGCCAGGTATTTTGTCCAGCAATGGGAGAAAAGTAACCAAGACAGGCCGCTTCGGCAGTTCTTCTTGGTGGGGCTGGACATTCCTCTCATGCTGGGCTTCTGGAAACCAGACGAGGGATCAGATTGAATTCCGGAGATGCAAGAAATGAGTGCCAGGGAGCCTCTCTCTGCCCTCAGGGGTGGATTAGACTGGGCTGGGGCCAGGCCTCTCTCTGGGAAGTCAGGCCATCTTGGTCTCCCTCCAGGGAGCCTCTTGTGGGCGGGCTCCAGAGCTGTCAGAGTTCTGGCATCTGGCCACGGAAAACCCAGGTGTGGACTGGATCCAGCTGCGGCTGCTGCTAAGCAGACTCAGAGCAAGACTGGTGGGGTGTATGCCCAGCCCTGACTTCTCCCAGGAGGGGCTCAAAAGCTGCTGAATGACTCGCTGAAGGCTTACTGGGTCTGTAGTTCTTAGGGTGACAGCTTGGGAGCGCGTGGGGGTGGCCTTGTAGGACCAGTTCAGCGTCACCATGGAAACTCTGGTGGGGGGAGGGGAGAGCAAGTTCCTGGTATGGAAGTGCGTGGTGCCATACATGCAGTACAGACATTCAAGTGCGAAGCTCTGGGCGGTGTGGACTGAGTTCCCTCCTTGGGCAAGGTCCCATTGTGAAGGGAGTGGGCAGGGACTGGGGCCTTCAGTGTCCTGTCTACCAGTGTCCTGAATTCGCCCACGTCTCACCAGGATGTCCACACCATGGGCCTCACCCGGTCAGCCTAGGGTTCTTTTGCTGGATTCACATGAGCATGGTGAATGCTGCTGATCTTCTTTTGCTGCTGGCCTCTTAAGATCTTCAGTACTAACTTCCCTTTGAACCAAACACTGCACACTACTGAGGGTACGGATCCTGACCAGGTTTACAAAAACACTTGGGGCACACACTACCCAAGAAATAAATGATGAACGGGTTTACAGGACCACCAGAGCCAGTCTTTAGTTGAACAGGACCTGTACAGCAGCACAGGGGGACTCCGTCCACTGGAGGGAGCCCTCCTAGACTAAGTGGAGAAGTGGCAGGGGAGCGCTGCTTAGATAGCAGCTGCAGGCCTGTGACTGGTTCAAACAGAAGCCCGGAACTGGTGCAGGGCACCAGGAAAGCCTCTGCTGTCATGATCCGGTGAAGGTCCTTGCTGAAACCAGGAAATCTTTTGGAAGCCTAGCTGTGGGGGTTGGGGATCCCTCCAGGTCCCCCCCTCCCTGAGGTTACCAAGCCAGGGACCAGGATGTGCCTTCCCTTTCCTCAAGAAGGCAACAATGGTGCGAGTAGGGAGGGGCGCCATGCTGATGGTCTAGCTGCACCCATGTGGAGTGGAGGGGAGTGGAGGGGAGTGGAGGGGAAGGGAGGGGAGTAGAGGGGAGTGGCCGCCAGGCAGCTAGGGGATGCCAAAGCAAGGACTCCCAGTCCACTGGGCAGCAAGAGGGAGGAGGGAGAGAAAAGGGAAGCCAGGGAGAGGGGTGTGGCAGCGCTCACCCCTGCCAAGCCTCACCCCGGCCTCCAGCCTGGGTTTGGGTTGGTGCGGGGGGAGTGTCAGGCACTTCTTGCCTTTCTTTTTTTTTGTTTGTTTTGTTTTTGGTTTTTCTCCGGTACCGGGAACTGAACTCATGACCTTGCACTTGCCAGGCAGGCGCTTTGCCGCTGAGCTAAATCCCCAGCCCCTACTTCTTGCCTTTCTCAAGGCCTGTGGGTCTGAGACAGACCTGGGTCAGTGCAGACAGAATGGACCTGTGCAGACCGCTGCCCCACCACCTCCTCCACCTACCTCCCAACCTGTCAGGTCTCTCTTCTTCGAGGAGAGCTGCTCTGCTGGGCTGGGAGGCCCTGCACAGATGGGTTATGGGTTCCTTTTCCTTTCCTTTCTCTTTTGTCTCTTCTTCATTTGTTCCCTCCCCTTCTCTCCCTTCCCGCCCTGCTCCTCATACTGGAGATTGAACCTAGGCCTTTTGCACTGAGCACAATTCTCAGCCCTTTCTTATTTTGTGATTTTGAGACAGGGTCTCAGTAAGTTGTCCAAACTGAGCTCAAACTTGGAGTCCTCCTGCTTAAGGTTCCCAGAGTTCTGGGATTACAGATTTGTGACACCCGGCCTGGTTGAGGACACCTTTTAAGGTCATAGAGAGTAGGGGAGGTGGAGCCCCTAGGCCTGGGAGAGGGGGTAACAGGGGTGCTGGGAGGGTGGTAGGCTCTGGTGGCCACAGCTTTGCTCAGCGTCACTTCCTGCCTTTTCATCATCCAGACCAGGGAGTGGGGTGCAGTGGGGGGCTGTCTGGGGTGTTGAGGGGGAGCTGAGGCTGCACCAGCTCAGAACCCCTGTCTCGCCTCTTCCCTTGGGGTCTGCCACCCCAGAGCCCAGCCTGGCGCCCAAGCCGCTGGGAGGTAGAGCCAATGGGGTCATTTTAGTCCCATATAAAGCCAGCAAATCCTCAGTCCAACCTTAGGTCAGGCGTCAGGCATAGTTGCTGCCCTCGTAGATGAGCCAGCCATCTCAGCGGGACACTACACAGGGCCCTGGGTCCATTGCTCTCTCCTGAGGAAGCTGGCCAGGTCCCCGTGGGGACCTCAGCCTCCCTCAGGGACAAGCCTGGATCAGTAATCTCAGGAACAGTCCTGAGACCCCAGGCTTGAAGCACTGGGCTCCGGGGCCCAAGGTTGCAGCCAGAGACAGAAGGTTGGTCTGAATGATCTCTGAAGGACAAGGGTAAATCCCGGCACCCTGTGACCGAACCAACTGGTGTACACAGCAGAGTGCTGTCCACCTTGCCCGAGGCAGGTGACTGCTCCCTGCGGTCCCCCTGCTAGGGCTCTGCTGGGATCTGGGTCTGCAGCTTGAGCCCTTGCCTCTGTCAAACTGCCATATCTGTGGCCCATGCACCTGGAGACTGGTGGGCTCACAGGAGAGGCCACGTTCCGGAGAGTGCCCCCTGGTGGCCTGTGTACTTCTACATATGGGGTTGGTTGTGAAGGAGGCACCTCACCCTGCTCCAGGGCCTAGTCTGGGCCCCTGTGAGGGCCAGGATCTGTGATCAACAGGCTCAGAGCAGATACCTTGTCCCTCGTTCTCTGGAGTATCCACTGTCAGCTGCTCTGTCCTTTCCTGACCTTTACCAGAACCAGAAAGCAGCACACAACCTGTAGGTACGGAACATTTTTTGCTTTCTGCAAGTACGGGGAAGTGACCTCACCACACTACCCCCACTCTGGACTCACAGCGTGAGAGACACAGCTTTCCCAGACCTGAGCTGCTGACCCCTGAAAGGGCCAATCAGACGAAGGGAAGAGGCACTGTGAGCACTTAGAGGGAGCCTTGTCCCTGCCCACTGTGGGGCTCTGGGAATGCCCCTTCTGTCCCCCAGCGCCTTCTCCTCCCTCCACCTTGCACAATCCTGACCTGGAAAGAAGAGGTTGAAATATTGCCAACTGTTTCCGAATGAGTTACTGCCAGTTACCTCACTCTTCCTGGATTTAGCAAAGGACGGATCAGCCTACCCTAGGGGGAGGCAGCAGCTAGGTGGACCATAAATAGTTCCCCGGGGCTGAGCTTCTCAGCCTTCTTCTTTCTCTTCCGACACCTGCCAGCCCAGCGGCTGTCCTGAGCCATGGCCCTGGGCCTCCTGTGCCTGGGCCTCACCCTGCTGGGGACCCTGCAGACCCAGGCCCAGGACTCCTTTTCAAGTCTGATCCCAAGCCCACCACTGAGCAAGGTCCCCCTGCAGCCAGACTTCCAGCACGACCAGGTAAGGATTTTAGAAGTGCAGCTTGAGGGAGGGCCCTGGGGACAGGGACCGTGGGAGCGGAGGGGAGCAGAGGGGAGGAGAGGGAGGAGAGGGAAAGGAATTCAGCAATGGCGTTGGTTGGTAGGAGCAGGACTCCGGGAGTCCAGGCCCAGCGCATGCCGGGTGGGAGCATTTTCAGTCCTTCGGCACAGAAGAGGGAACTGAGGTTCAGGAAGGCCCAGCAGCCGCTTGCCCAGGGCCACACCACCGGTAGCAACTCAGGGCTGACCCCTCACCCAGGGTCCCTCCTGGACCTGGAAGACTCATCTCCTGCTGGCTGAGCAGGGCTGCCCCATCTCTGGCCCCTGCTGCCCAGAGGTCCCAGCAGGGACAGCGAGGGAGGAATGGCTCAGGGGTCATCCCTGGGCCCTGCCTGTCACGGCCTCTTACAGTTCCAGGGAAAGTGGTACGTGGTAGGTGTGGCAGGGAACGCGTTTTTGAAAGGAAAACAAAGAGATACCATGTACACGGATACCTACGAGCTGAAAGACGACCGCAGCTACAACGTTACAGCCACCCTGCTCAGGTGAAGCCGCCACTGCCTGGGGGTCTCAGAGGCAGAGCAGTGTCATAGCCGAGGGTGACCGCAGCTGAGGGATGCCGTTGTTCTCACCTCTCTGCACCCAAATCCATCTCCCTCCCTGCACCCTTCTCCTCCTCTCTCCTCATTCCCTCCCTTCTCCTTTGCGTCAGTGTTCACGGGTGGCTCCAGCACAAACACACAGTCAGCAGAAAACAAGACAGAGGGCAAGGAGGGACACCGCACCCAGACTGGGACCCCACCAAGGCCTCCATCTAGGGCTTCAAGGGAAGGGACTTTACTATTATTATTATTTTAAAGAGAAAACAAAATAACAGCAACTAAGACAAAAACAAAACAACACAGAAACAATAAAAACAATACAGAATTTCAAAACAAGGTGATAGGAAGTTAACAATGGTTGTTATATTACATCTTGTTACCTTCTACGAAGATGCTCCGATTATCAGATGTAAGAATGCAAGGTTGATAAAACAATTACAGAGAATTAAAAAAAATCATTAGAAAGGATACAGTTTCACTAGTCAAGGTAGTAGGGATTCAATAATGGTTGTTTTTTTTTTTTTTCTTTTTGAGACAGGGTCTCGTTATGCAGTTCAGGCTGGCCTTGAGCTCATTTTGTAACCCAGGCTGGGCTCGAACTCCCAAAGATCCTCCTGCCTCAGCCTCCCAAGTGCTGGGATTACAGGAGTGAGACACCACGCCTGGCACACCAATGGTTGTTATACTGCATATTGTTGTCTTCAAATTAGTTGTTCACATTACCAGATATAATCATGCAAAATTGGTCAGAAAAAAGAAAAATTTAAGCATTAGCTATTCCTTTCAATAGACCAATAGGCAAGGGAAGGGACTTTGAAGGAGCTAGCCTCTTAAGAATGCTGGTGCATGACTGTGATCTTAGCAGGCTCTGCTCAGGGAACTGAGGCAGGAGGGTGCAAAGTGGAAGCCTGAGCAACTTAGGGAGATCCTGCAGCAGGAGAGCTGGGGAGAACTGCAAAGGTAAGGTCGAGCAGCCCCAGGTGGGAGATGACACAGGCTCAAACTGGAAAACACTTTGGAATGTTTGGGGATATGGGTCCCCTCCCCCACATGTGGCCAGGTCTCTCCTTAGAGGGGAGAGCCTGGGTCCTTCCTACTGCAGTGAGTTCTGGCTCTGGCCATGGGGCGGACTGGAGGTGGAGGATTTGAGAATTGAGGGGCATAAGAAGACGAGTTGGGGGCTTCGTTCTGGGTGCAGGGGTAGGGTGGATTCATGGAGAGATTAGATGTGACCCAAGGGCTAGGACGGAACTTGGCGTGGAGCTCTGAGGAAATGGGGCAGAGGGAAAGGGGGCAGCAAGATAAGAGCAGGGTCAGTGCCTGGGTCTGTGTGTGGGACGGGCTGCCCCGGGGAGGCAGCGGAGGACACAGTGAGTGCTGGAGAGGAGATTGAGTAACACCCCAGGAGCCCCGGCAGAGGCTCAGAGGGGAAAGCCCAGGGCCATGGAGAGCGGTGTGGGCGGGGCAGGCTGTCATGGGATGTGCTGGACTGCAGGAACCCTGACCCCACTTCACCTAGCTCAGGGGCCCCAGGTCTGTATGGTGCTCATCTCCCACGTCTCATCCTCCCACAGGGACCAGGTCTGTGACCACTGGATCAGAACGTTTGTCCCAAGTGACCAGCCTGGCCAGTTCAGCCTGGGCAATAGACTACGTGAGTCCTGAGTGAAGGCAGCCTTGGGGGCAGCCTTGGGGGCAGCCTTGGGGGTGCCGAGTCCTCCTGGAAGGGCGCAGGCCTCCCTGTCGGCCACATAGATGCTGTCCTGTGGAGAGGGGAGAAGCCTCTGCTGACTGGTCATAGAGGAAAGAAACAGTCCTGTCTTGCTGGTCAGGGCGGGGGTGACCTTGTCTTGCACACTCCAGGCTACCCTGGAATACAGAGCTACACCGTGAGAGTGGCAGCCACCGACTATAATCAGTTCGCCATAGTGTTTTTCGAGAAGAAGTCCAGAAACAGAGTGTACTTCAAGATCAACCTCTATGGTGGGTCCTCGCTCCGTCCCCTCAGGGACCTGGCCCCTTGTTAGGGAGGGGACCCATATCCCCAAAGGTTCCAAAGTGCTTTCCAGTTTGAGCCCCTGTCAGGGAGGAGGTCTTCCCACAGATCCTCGGTGGGTGAGAAGTCTGAGGCCCCCTCCACTCAGCTGACGGTATTTATGGAGTGAACCCAGCGTGGTTGGGCACAGCTGTCATCCCATCACCTTGGAGGCCAAGGCAGGACGGTTGGGAGTTTAGGGCTGTCCTGAACTACATAGCAGGACCTGTCTGAGAAATCTCGAAAAAATGAAAACATGCAGTGTCTTTCTGTTGGCCTCTCACTGCCACGTTGGTCACAGGAAGGACCAAGGGGCTGAGCACTGAACTGAAGCAGCACTTCGTCAAATTCGCCATGTCCCTGGACCTCAGTGGTGACAGCATCATCTTCCTGAAGCCCATCGGTAAAGACCAGCGGGGAGGAAGGGAAGGGAGGTGGGATCTGTCCAGGCCTGATGCTGCCCCACAGGGAAAGGGGACAGAGGAGACTCCGTCCCCTGTGCCAGTCACTGGAGGGGTAGTGGCTCCCACCTTGGAGCCTGTGGGTGCCCCTGATCATGTAGCCAAGGCCTCCCCAGGTGGCAATTTCAGGCCCAAGTGTCTGCAGTCTCAGTGCCCTGGGCCACCTCCCCTTCCCCTGGTGTGGCTCCTTCCGGGCCTGGGAGATGTCCTTACTTTCAAGTGGCCTGGCCTGATTTAAGGGAACCCCAGATCCTCCGCAGCTGGGCCAGGCTGGCTCTGAGGCAGCCAGGTGTTCTGCTCCCACCGCCAGCCCTGCCTGCTCTGATATTCTTTCTCCCCACAGAGGAGTGCATTGACGGCTGAATGCGCAGTGAGTATGGCTGGGCAGGGGGCTGATGGGAGGCCTGGGCAGGGTGGCTGCAGGTCTTGGGGCTGCCCTTGCTCCTCCACCTGCCCGGCTGTAGACCCCCGCCATCTCTACTCTACTGTCCCCTCTCAGGTACTTCTTGTCTCTACACACCCCGTTCTTCCTGTTGCACGGCCTAAGGTGTCACCTGGCTGCTCCAGCTGCCACAGTGCCATGACAGACTCGGAATACCTTCCTAACAGCGCAGTGCTGCCCACCCGGCCAATAGAACCCTCTTTGTCTGCTGAATAAACAGATGCCCCCTGTCTCCCAGTTTGTATTCCTTGACCCCTGGGCCATGACAAGGGAGAAGGGCAGAGGGTCACTCACGCCAACTTCATCCCAGAACCCAGCCTGATGTTAGGGTGCAGAGAGAAGGCACAAGGCAAAGAGGACTCCAGGCTCCCTGCTACCCTTGTGGCCACTGGTTGTCCTGGGTCGGTCCTGGGTTGAACAACGTCATACTCACTGCTGCCTTGACTGGACACTCTAGTTCCAGCCCCGGGCGGATTGAACCACTTCCTAAAAGCCCCACCTCTTGATACTGCCCGCTGAGGTCTCAGGTTCCAACTGATGGGAGCGACAGGGACACACATATGCAAAGCACAGCAGCAGCCGAACCTGATGAGCTTCTGTCCTTCACCTGGCCCTAGGGGAAGGAGGCTGTGCCCACTGGCTTGGCCCTTAGAAGACAGCTGGGCTAGGGAAGGCCAGGGTCAGGGAGGAACCTGGGAAGCAGCAAAGGCAGAGGATGGGGCTGGGGGTGGGGCTGGTGGAGCGGGTAGGGTTGGCACCATCAGAGACTGGGGTTGAGAGATGGGCAGGAACAGGGGTCTCCCAGCCCAGCCTGAGCACCCCTCTTCCATACTGGGCCTCAGATGTGCTCAGCCTTGGGCCTAGGACTGCACACACAGCTGGAGGCTTGGCCCTGTCTTCCCCTGCACCCTGGTCATCAAGCAGGGGTGTGTCCCGTGCTGGCCACAGCTGGAAGGTCTCTGGAGGGATCAAGGGCAGTGAGGCAGAATGAGCCCTGCACAGCAAGGCAAGAGTCATCTTGGCCAGAACAAGAGGAGAACTTTGCTGAGGGCTTGGGCCCAGGAGGTGCTCATGGGGGTTCCTCCTAGATTTAACGAAGGATGGGTGACCTTATGCAAGTCTACAAGGTAGGCTTAGAGTGGTCGTCCTGAGTCAGGTGTGGAAGCCTGGAGAGCGGTTGTCTGCGCAAGGGAGAGCTGAAGGATCCAGTTGAAGGTTGAAGGCCCAGAGCACACTGTGGTGTCCCGAGTGAGTGCATATCAGGAGGCCAAACTAACCCTAACCTCTGCACTTCATTTCACTTCTGTCCAGGCGCTGTGCTGTCTGACTGTCCCATGGGCACAATGACAGTGACAGGATGAGAAAATTCTCAGCACAGTGCTGCCCACTCATCTTTCCAAAGACACCCTGTTTCTGGAGCATGCTTTGCTTGCTAATTAAACAAACGCAGCCAGGCATGTGAGACTGTGCTTCTTGTCTGCTGGGCCACGGAGAGAGGAAGGCAAAGCGGGACGCACACGAAGACCATTCACAGGCTCTGCTGTCTGTAGAACTCACTCTGCCAATGTGATGTTTGGGGGCAAAGAGAAGGCACAAGGCAAAGAAAAATTCTTGCTCCTCGGGTTTCATCACTGGCATGGCAGGAACGGGTC